GGACAGATCAGGACAGATCAGGACAGAGGAGGGGACAGATCAGGACAGAGGAGGGGACAGATCAGGACAGATCAGGACAGAGGAGGGGACAGATCAGGACAGAGGAGGGGACAGATCAGGACAGAGGAGGGGATAGATCAGGACAGAGGACAGAGGACAGAGGACAGGACAAACCAGACACTGTAAAAAAGTCTAAACCACTTTATGTCTCACTGACATTAAATCACATTAAATCTTTCCTGGTTTTGCTCAGGCAGGATTCATTCAATTCTTTTTAAAACATTTCTTTTTCCAGTGTCAGAAATCTTTGTTTAATCTCAGACTTTTAGTTAAAACTCTAAGTTTTTGGTTGAACTCAAAAGTTTTGAACTCAGAACATGACGATCTGGGGCGGGGCCTGAGGAGGAGCGATGTAAGACATGTTCCTATTGGTTAGTGTGGATTAAAGTGATTTCCTCTTGCAGAGTTCAAGAAGGTTTGTCTGATTTAACATCAGGTAAAACTGTCTRTTGTGTTGTATGAACACCTGGTTTGACTGATCGGGGAGTTTAGTTGGAGGCTGCATGCTGTTAGACTTCACACTTACATGGACTTGAGGAGTGGGAGGCAGTCCATGAAAACCAGCTTTCTAGAAATTACAAAAGTTACAAAACACAAGGAGTAATAAAAACCATAAGCATTATTAATTCAAACCATTCTGAATGAGTTTTTATATGAGCCAGGTTTAAAGGGTTCACACAGGATCATTAGGGAGTTATTAGGTTAGCAAGTAAACCAGGTTCTGAGAGAACTCACCGAGTCCTCCGGTTTTTTCCTCAACGTGGTCCACTCCAGGGACAGATGAGGCTCAGTTTTTGAGGAGGAAACGGAGGTCCTGTCTGCTGGAACAGTGTGGTCTTGTGACAAGCGTGGCTCGTTGCAGCGCTGACTGATGTCTTGTGTAGCAGAACACCGGGCCAAGGCTTGGAGGGAAAAGATAGATTTCAAAGAAAATGACCAAATGAAACCTCAGAGCTGATTATTATGAAACTATTCTCCCAACAGAGCCCATATGAGAACTGTTCTGGGCTCAGACAGACCCAAACCTCCGACACCACATCCCGCATCCTAAACTGGAGAGGGACCATCCAGCCTGGCCTCTCTGATGATAGAGGGGTGCATTAGTGCCTGTGGCAGCTCACACAGACCAACATCTGCTTCTATCCTGATGATGTTCATCAAGAAGACCAGCAGGATCAGGTTAAACCTCAGACTGGATCTGTGACAACAGGACTTCACAAGAGTCCAGGTCCAGAACTGTCACCAGCTAAAAACATTTCATGCATCACAAAACTAAAGAAACCATAGATCCAGGACTGTAGACCAGAATGGGACAAAGTTCTATTCAAAACCTCCAGACCTGGTCTCTTCAGGTCCTCCTAAACCTGCAGACCTGGTCTCCTCAGGTCCTCTAAAACCTGCAGACCTGGTCTCCTCAGGTCCTCTGGACAGGCTCTTGTTTAATGAAATGTTTCATCTCTCTTCAGTCTGTCCAGAAGACCTGTTAAACAGTTTTTCCTACCTGGATTAGTGAGCTACATCAGGACATGAACCTGAACTGTACAGAGATGTGATGCTGCTAGAAGATTCTAAATCATCTGAACAGCCAGCTTAAAGAAGAATGATTCTTTGATCTAAAATATGAGTTTAKCAGGTCTGCACATCATCACGTTCTGTTTTTATTTACATTTACAGCACTGATCAACTTCTCTGGAATTTGAGTAGTACAATAAATGTGATGATTGTAGAAGTCAAACAGCTAAAACTAGAAAGTAAAGCAGAAAAAACTAGTTAAATGTGTTTTTGTTATGTAAGAACAAGTGTGCACTGAAAATGTGTCATGCTGGCTGAAGCATGTCTTGAAGCAGCCCAGTTAAAAACCACCATTAGCCCCAGTGCTACACAAAAATAAGAAATATAATACAAAAACAAATTAATACACAAATTTGTAAAGCTAAAAGAAAAAGTATGTAAGAAACACACTTTTTGAGAAATATAAAAATCCATAACTATAAAAAATAGACATTAAAGAATTTAAATATTTTATCAAATAAATATTTATAAAACCATAAAAATTCAAAACATATACTGGTAATTACAAATAAACAAAGAATTAAATTAACAACAAAATGTAATTTAGACCTATATAAAACCAATATATTAATTTGTAATAATATAAAGATAAATGAGTGAATTTAAAAACAAACAATTAATAGCTAATTTTCTAACTTGTTATTTTTTTTTTTTAGTTTGAACCCTTTACATCTGAACATTTATTTTTATTAATAAACTATGCTGCACTGCTAAACTGAGCCACTATAAGTGGGGGCAGTGTTGGACCATAACAAACAAGCTGCCATCACCATTAAATCAACAGCAGTTTTAGGATTATTAAAAGATTAAGAACTTAATAACCAAACCTATTACAAGAACCATGAGTCACAGCCATCATCTCACAAACAATGTCTATAAATATGAATGACACAGTATGAATGACTAGATGAGGTGGGGAAGAGCTAAGGCCAAATAATAAGAGAGAGAATCAGACAAACAATATACAGTACACTAACAATTAGAGCAACCACAGAMACCACCAGAGCCAAACAGTCATGTCTTACAGGAACTTTAACTCCTGTTTCAAAATCAAATCCAGCTCTACCTCCTAATGGATCTGGCTCTGTCCCCTGGCACAGCAAAGACCCTCTGCTGAGATGAGACCAGTTCTGACCAGTTCAGAAGAAGCTGGGGAGGAGTGAGAACTGGCTGCAGGTTGGAAGCCCGTTGATTTTGTAGGTTTGTATATTTAGTTGTAATTAGTTMTTTCATATCTAAAAGGAAGCTCTTTGTTTGGGGGAGTAGGTGGAAGTCCCACATCCCCTCAAACTCCTAAAACCCAGCATCGCAGCTCCAATAAACCAGTTCCAGCTGAAAGACCCAACAATGAGAGAAGACAGGGACAGATGGCCTAGTGTTACAATACAAGCTGATGAAGTCTGCTGGGTGGTGGAGGTGGAGGTGTGCTGCACCTGTAGTAGAGCTGGACTCAGCTGGGATGGCGGTGTCCGGGCCCAGGGTGCAGCTCGGTCTCAGGGTCAGGTCTCGGTCCTCTGTGTGGCAAGTTAAAAGGCTGAAGGCTGGTAAGGAGGCTGTAGGACTGAAGAGACCGCTCCTCCTACCTCCCTGTGAAAACACAGTGTGTGTTGGTTCAGTCTGGGTTCCTCACACCAACACTTAGTTACACCAACACTTAGTTAAACCAACCCTTAGTAATACCAACATTTAGACACACCAACACTTAGTTACACCAGCACTTGGTTAAACCAACACCTATACCAACATTTAGACACACCAACATTTAGACACAACAACACTTAGTTATACCAACATTTAGACACACCAATGTTTAGACACACCAACACTTAGTTACACAAACACTTAGTTACACTAGTACTTAGTTACACCAGCACCTAGTTATACCAACATTTAGACACACCAACACTTAGTTACACAAACACTTAGTTACACTAACACTTATTTGCACCAGCACCTAGTTATACCAACATTTAGACACACCAACACTTAGTTACACAAACACTTAGTTACACCAGCACTTAGTTATACCAACATTTAGACACACCAACACTTAGTTAAACCAACATTTAGACAAACCAACACTTAGTTACACCAACACTTAGTTACACCAACACTTAGTTACGCCAACACTAAGTTATACCAACATTTAGACACACCAACACTTAGTTACACCAACACTTAGTTA